TATGAATGGATACTTGTATAGAAGAGAATTGGAGAACTGAATAACAGGGATGAAAAGAATTACTTTTTCCTGTATTGCTTTGGCAAGTTCTGTGTTTTATATCATATGCATGTGTGTGATCTCCTTACTTATGTAACTAAACATATTTAGATAATTCAATGCATGGTGTAAACATATATTAGACATAATTTAAGGAATAATAGAAATTTGGAAGATAAAGCTGAAGAAATTACTTAGAACACAGCAAGGAGATAAAAATAGAAAAATAAAGAAGTAAAAGGAGACATGAAGGAGGGGACAAGACTAAAACACATCTAATTATATTTTCAGAAGGAGATTATGGAGAGAATATAAGAGGAGAATTTTTAAAAATAAAATATCTGAGGGGCTGGCGCTGTGGCACAATGGGTTAATGCCCTGGCCTGAAGCACCTGCATCCCATATGGGTGCTGGTCCTAGTCCCGGCTGCTCCTCTTCTGATCCAGCTTTCTGCTATGGCCTGGGAAAGCAGTAGAAGATGGCCCAAGTCCTTGGGCCCCTCACCCACGTGGGAGACCAGGAAGACACTCCTGGCTTCTGGCTCCTGGCTTCGGATTGGCATAGCTCCAGTCATTGCGGCCAATTGGTGAGTGAACCATCGGATGGAAGACTTCTCTCTCTCTCTCTCTCTCTCTGCTTCTCCTTTATCTGTGTACTCTGACTTTCAAATAAATAAATCTAAAAAAAAAGCTAGACCCAAAAGGATAAATATCACTTTAAAAAAATAAAATAAAATATCTGAGTTTTTCAAAATTGATAAAGAATCCTAATCTCCAGCCAATTCCAAGCAAGATAAATAAAAAGAAACTAATATGTAGACATATGAGAGTGAAACATAAAGGGAACAAAGATGACTAAAAACAGCTGGAGAGAAAAGAAACAATTAGAACAAGAGTAAATTTCTTAGCCACAATAGAAGCTAGAAGACAGTAAACATATCTTAAAAGTGCTTAAAATAAACAAGTCAATTAGAATTTTATACTCAGCCAAAATATAATCTAGGATTGAGGACCTACCCCCACCCCAAGGTTATTTCTATGCAAAAACAATGGTGAGTTTACTATCAACAGATTCTCACTAAAGAATCTTCTAGGGGCTGGTATTGTGATGCAGCTCTTGGCTGCTACATTATTGGTATCCCATGTTGGAGTCCTGGCTGCTCTGCTTTCAATCCAGCTAATGTTCCTAAGGCAGTGGAAGATGGTCCAAGTATTTAGGCTCCTGCTACCTATGTGGGAGACCCAGATGGAATTCTGGGTTCCTGGGCTTCTGCCTAGCCCAGTCCCAGCATTGTGGCCATTTGAGGAGTGAACCAGTTGGATGGAAGATTTGTGTGTGTGTATGTGTGTGTGTGTGTGTGTGTGTGTCTTGCTCTCTCATTCTGCCTTTCAAACTGAAACATAAACAAACAAGAATCTTCTAAAGGAAGGTGGAAAATGAACCCAGGAAGAAGACATGAGATTCAAAGGTCAAGAATGATCAAAGGACTCGGTAAACAAGTGGTTAAATATAAATAAGCATTGACTTATGTAACAATAATAATAATAATAATGGTAATTCATTTGGGGGTTAATATTAAATTAAAATACAAAACAATTAACATGCAAATTAGGAAAAACAGAGACCAGAATTTAAAAAAAAATTTTTTGACAGGCAGAGTGGACAGTGAGGGAGAGAGAGAGAAAGGTCTTCCTTTTCCATTGGTTCACCCCTCAATGGCTGCTGCTTCCAGTGTGCTGCGGCTGGCACACCACGCTGATCCAAAGCCAGAAGCCAGGTGCTTCCTCCTGGTCTCCCATGTGGGTGCAGGGCCCAAGCACTTGGACCATCCTCCACTGCCCTCCCGGGCCACAGCAGAGAGCTGGACTGGAAAAGGAGCAACCGGGACAGAATCCAGCACCCCGACCAGGACTAGAACTTGGTGTGCCGGCGCCGCTAGGCAGAGGATTAGCCTATTGAGCCGTGGTGCCAGCTAAGAGAACAGAATTTTAAAGTTCTTCTATTACTTAAGGGGAAGGTGGAGATAGTGATGTTAGATTTTGTTAAATATACACATGAAAATGTTAAGGGTTCCAATTAGTTGTACAACAACAAAAATATTCCAGTGGTTTTTTAAACACAATTTTGTATCTTTCTCCCTTAGTAGGATATCTAATAAGAATACAATTAATGGGGCCTGCGCTGTGGCATAGTGGGTAGAGCCACCGTCTGCAATGCTCGTATCCCAGATGGGTGCCGGTTCAAGTCCTGGCTGCTCCACTTCTGATCCAGCTCTCTGCTGTGGCCTGGGAGAGCAGTGGAGGATGGCCCAAGTTTTTGGGCTCCTGCATCCACATGGGAGACCCAGGGGAGGCTCATCTCTGGCCATTGTGGCCATCTGGGGAGTGAACCAGCAGATGGAAGACCTCTCTCTCTCTCTCTCTCTCTGCCTCTCTGTAGCTCTGCCTTTCAAATAAATAAATAAATTTTTTTAAAAAAGAATACAATTGATTAAGATGAAATTGTTTTTAAAATATTATGAGTATGGGGCCTGCATTGTGACATAGTGGGTAAAGCTACCACCTGCAGTGCTGGCATCCTATATGGGCACTGGTTTGTGTCCCAGCTGCTCCACTTCTGATCCAATTCCTGGCTGGTGACCTGGGAAAGCTGAAGAGGATGGCCCAGGTGTTTGGACCCATGACACACATGTAGAAGACTTGGATGAAGCTCCTGGTTTCTGGCTTCATCCTGCCCCAGTCCTGGCCATCTGGGGAGCGAAGCAGTGGATACAAGATTCTCTCTCTCTCTCTCTCTCTCTCTCTCTCTTTCTCTCTCTCTCATTCTCTATCTCTGTACTGACTTTAAAATACATAAATAAATCTTTAAAAAGCATTAAGGATAACCTCTAAAAGAACATTAACAGATTATATAACTTAAATAAGAATGTCAAAATGTTATCAATCCTAAATAAGGCAGGAAAGGAGAAAAAGTAAACTAAGCATGGAGACCTCAGGACAAGATAATAGAAATAAACTTTAAAAATCAGCAATTGCTATAAAAGTAAAACTTACCATTCAAATGACATATTTTCAGTTTGGACTAAGAACAACAAAACCCAACTATAAACTGTTTATAAAAGACACAAAATAAAAAAATACACAGAGAAGTTCAAAGTAAATGATTTGATTATTGTTTATAGCCCTTGTCTATATTCCTATAGTACAGTGGTCTTTTGACTTTTTACTCATTGAACGCTATGGTTAGTGGTGCATTGAGACCGTGATTATAAAGTAAATAAAGTATGTTACTGCAAAAATTAAAGGGAAAAAAGAAAGTAAGGAAGGAAAGGGATTGAGCGAGGGAGGAAGGTTATGGTTATCTTCTTAGAATATATCTATTAAATCTGTTCTTTTTATTTAATAAAATAAAAATTGAAAATAAAGCAAATGAATAAAGTTGAACCAAGAAAATGAGAAAAAGGGGCCTGGCACTGTAGCATAGTGGGTAAAGCAGCCGCCTGCAGTGCCAGCATCCCATATGGGTGCTGGTTCGAGCCTCAGCTGCTCTTCTGATCTCTGATATGGCTTGGGAAAGCAGTAGAAGATGCCCTTGCACCCACATGAGGGACCTGAAGAAGCTCTTGGCTTCTGGCTTTGGATGGGCCCAGCTCTGGCCTTTGCAGCCATTTGGGGAGTGAACCAGTGGATGGATGGATGGAAGATCGATCTCTCTCTCTCTCTCTCTCTCTGCCTCTGCCTCTCTGTAACTCTGCCTTTCAAATAAAACATAAATAAATCTTCAAAAAAAGAAAATGAGAAGAAATATTGTAAAACTATATTAGGTAAAATATACTTTTCAGCTAAAATCATGATAAGAACAAAAGACATTTCCCTTCTATGTAATAAAAAAGTACCATTCAATGAGAAAATATAATTGCTTTAAATTTGTGTATCTCTAATAACAGAGCTTCAAAATATATAAGGGAAAATGAGGGCAAATTAAGACTGATTTTATAATATTAAAACTGACTTTATAATATCATATCTGAGGATGGGGATAAAACTGTGAAAGTACTTTGAAATCAAACAGAACATGTATTATATCTACCCAGATGTCCTGCTTTTCTGGTAATGTTCCCAGGAATTTGTATCACAAATGGAGTATGACTAAAAAATGTTCTAAAATATAGAGCCATCTAAAGTGATGACTTTGCATTGAAAGCAAAGAACATTCATGTCATATGGAGATAGGGAACTAATGGCCTGGTTCTTGTGGTGTCAATGAAATTGGTTAAACTACCAGCCATTCTCCCTTGGGATGATGCCAAATGCCCAGTCAGGCTGCAGCTTTAGGCAACTTGGTAACAAAATACAGATAATATGTTGAACTACTTCAAGTGTCTCCAGTGAGGGGATAATAAAGACAAGATCTAGAATAAAATAGGCCCTCCTGAAAGCAGGGAGAGAATAAGCAGATGAATATGTAGTTTTTAAAGAGAATAACCTGGGGTGGACATTTGGCACAGCAGTAAAGACATCACTTGGGACACCTGCAACCCATATTGGCATGCCTGGGTTTCAGTACCAGCTTCACTCCAAATTCTAGCCTCCTGCTAATGTGCACCTTTGGGCCACCCACAAGGGAGAGTTGGATGGAGTTTCTGGCTTTGGCCTGGCTCAGGCCTGGTTACTTCAGGCATTTGGTGAGTGAACTAGTGGATAGTGGATCTACTTTTGTTTCTCTCTGCCTCTCTCTCAGTTTCTCTGCTTTTCAAATAAATAACAACAACAACAAAAATAAATAAGAAGAAGAATCTGTTGTCTAAAGCCAAGAATCTGATGTGCTTTGTGGGATGGTAGCTGCTACAAAATAAGCTTTTCTCTGTTTTAAACCTGTCTAGGAAATTGTGGAATCCTGGAAGATGAAAGGGAAATACTGGAGAGGAGTCCTAGAAGTTAGGCCACTCTTCCAAACCTTACCTCTCCTTTGGGATAACGATAACGGTATTTATCCTGGTCTCGTAGTGCAAATTCTTCCGGGTAGTGTTCCTGGATTTCCTCATAGGTCATCTCTTCACAGACACCCTGGAAAAAGTATTTTCAGATGAAAGTATTCATGTGGTGAAATAGGCTTTGCCATACTTCTGAGGTCAAAATTTGTTCAACAGTATCATATGGCCCCCTGGGTCTCTGTGAACACAACTCTGGGGCTGTGCCTGTTAGTATGTATGTATACATGAACCATGAGGTATGTGGCTATATGGGTGTGAGAGTCAATGTATGTGAATATGAGTGTTCAGGCTGAGTGTCTGGTGTTTTTCTATGATTTCCCCAATAAGTCTGTAGGTGTATGTTATACATATAAGTATGTATTTGTATAATAAATATGTGAGTTTAAGGATTTCTATCATGCAAGTGTGTGTGCGACATGCTTATGATGTGTACTTGTAGTATGTTTAAGACTATGCCTTGTTTGTGCATGTATTTGTGTCAGAATATGTTGTGTGTGTGTGACTGTATGTGTGTGCAAACATGCACAGGGTATTTGAACATCTGAGAACATGCTCCTGAGAGTATCTCTGTGGTATAACTCTCCATATCACATATCTCAGTGTGTCTGTGACATGTGTATATCCATATCCATGAATGTATATATCCCTCATGTCTCTGATGTGTATGTGTGAGTATGTGTGTACCTCTGTCTGCAGTCTGTATGAATTTGTGGTTATATGTTTGAGTGTGTGTGTGTGTGTATATATATATATATACTGCATGTGTGTGCCCATGAGTGTATACATATTTATGTATGTGTGCATGTCTGTGCATGTGTACATTTCTTCATGTATGGTGAAGGTGTGATTGATAGGAGAGGTCCTATGTGTCTGTGAAGTGCATGTATGTGGGCTAAGCATGCTTGTGGTAGATGCTTGTGACAGAATGTACAAGAGTATATGTGTGTACATAAATGCAGAAGTGTTCATATTTTGCAAAATATTTCTTATTCTTCTTTCCCTGACCTCTACTTTTGGATCTCTGACAGACAAAGAAACAGATATCCAGACACCTCAGAGAGCAAATTTAGTATATTTGAATGATTTCACAGTAATCTTTGGCAAGATACACTTCCCACCCCAACGAAGGAATTGAGGACTCAGACAATGAGTTCTTCACGAGCTTATGGAAGCTTCCAAATCTACTGAGAAACCCCTAGAGGTGAGTTAAATGCTGGCGGCATGGAGGAAGTGATGTTTGGTTTCTAAGAATTCTTTCTGTGTACGTGGGATTCCAATTAAACCTTCTGGTAGGAAAGACAGTGGCCTCTGGTTGTTGACTTTTGGGCCCATCTACAAGGGTTCTCTCAGAGGTGAGGAACTGAACCACAAATCCAAACTACAAACAACTCTGAAGTGTCAAAATTCTCCAACTGATGCTGCCTATGGAAGAGAGTGCACCATACTGGGTACCGAAAGTCCTTCCATATTGGCTTAAGCCTCCTATTCTGAGACATGCTGGGAACCTGTTGCCTGTGGAAAATAGCCACTGACTCCTCATTGACTTTAAGAAAATTGCCTAACCTCTTTGAATTTTGTTTTCTTCAACTGTAAAATAAGAAGAATTATGACTACCTCCTAGAAGTGTTTTGAATATTGTGGGGAGCAACTCGGACTAGACTAAGTTACTGGAATTAAGACTTATTCTATGCGTCTGCTCTCCCACAATATGGCGCTGGGAGAGGAGTAAACAGCTTCTACGCAGCTGTCTCTTGCCAACTTGAGTGATGACCTGCAGGAGCTGATCCTGCTCCTGATTGCAGGAGAGCAGCATACTTGGCGTGTGGGTAGCAGAGTTGGGATTGGTGGAAGAGGACTATAAAGGAGGAGAGAGACAACATGCACCAAGAACACCTGAGGAACATCTGAGCAGCCCCCGAGAGAGCCGGCTGGCGGTGTGCGGTGTGCCGCTCCCCTGTGGAAGTGGGGAAAGTGGCAGGGGGCACCACCCTTCCACGGAGGTGGAAGGGTCGGTAGCCAACCCGGGAAGAACCAGCAGCAAACCCGGGGAGGGCCAAGCAGACAAAAGAACAGCGCAGGGTCTAGTGTCGTTCCTCCGCGAAGAGGGGGAGCGACAGAATATTATAGAGGATGTATGTAAAAGATGTACAAGTCATCTTTGAAAGGCTCAAACAATGGAATCAAGTACCACTATTACTAATCATAGAAAATAAATGAGAAACTTAGGCATCATTCTTTATTCATCCTTCTTTCTCACTCACCCCCAATAGTCAATTCTTGAGATTCTACTTCCTATGTCTTTTTCTAATCTATTCCTTTTCCCTCTCACTCCAACTCCACTGCAGCAATCTTAGCATTTACACACACACGCACACACACACACACACGCACACACACACACATATACTTTTGGCTTATGCTGGCTTCTCTGCTTTGGAATAGTATTCTGGATCCTCTCCACTGGGTTCACTGCTGCTCAGCACTCAGGCTTCTGCTAGTCATCACTTTTCCCAGGCAGATCCTGACTGCGTCAGATACCCTGTCCTGACTTCTGTGCACCCACAGTCTTGCCTAACAGAGCCTGTATCACACAAACTGCTTTGTATTCCTCTATGTATTCCCCTGTGTACTCTATTTAGCCAAAAAGTCAGTGAAGCCAACAATGAGTCCTATTAATCTCCTCTGTCTCTGGCACCACCCCAGAATGTGAAACAAGTAGGTGTTCACTGAATGTTTACACCACATGTGGCCAGAAATAAGCAGCAACTGAACTCTTTTTATAGAGTTTAGATATTTGCTTGCATGCATCTTATAGCAAATGTGTAGAACAATGCTGTAAAGCCCTTTTTAAAATATGCACATCTCTTTACATCTGTGTTTACGTACATAGGTATGAATGTACAAGAGGCCTTCAAAACATTCATGAAAATGCATATAATGAAAAAGTATGCATGGATTTCAAATTTTTTTGCACTAAAGTAAACTCATACTAACTTGTTATATCTTAACAGAATCTAGTTTAAGGAACTAAGAGGAATAGGCCTAAGTTTGAAAACAGCTCCTATGGGACCAACATCAATTCTGCTAAAATTGAAGCAACAGCAAACATCAAATTCATGGTGAAGCTTGGGTGGAAGAATGATGAAAGAATTGATGTTGGGACTGGCACTGTGGTGTATTGGATAAAGCTGCCGCCTACAGTGCCAGCATCCCATAATGGGCGCCGGTTCGAGTCCTGGCTGCTCCACTTCTGATCCAGCTCTCTGCTATGGCCTAGGAAAGCAGTAGAAGATGGTCCAAGTTCTTAGACCCCTGCACCCATGTGGGAGACCTGGAAGAGGCTCCTGGCTCCTGGCTTTGGATTGGCACAGCTCCAGCCATTGCAGCCATTTGGGGAGTGAACCAGCGGATGGATGGCCCCTCTCTCTCTGCATCTCCTTCTCTCTCTGTGTAACTCGGACTTTCAAGTAAATAAAGAAATCTTAAAAAAAAGAATTGATGTTGTACAAAAAGCTGATGGGGACAATGTCCCAAAAAAATCAGCAGTTTTCATTTTTTAAAGTCAATAGTTTAGAAACGGATAAATCATTTTAAGAAGGGATGAGATGATGTTGAAGATGAAGCCTGAGTGTCAGACCATTCATGTCAATTCACAAGGAAAAATTAATCTCGCCCATGCCCTAACTGAAGAGGATTGACAATTAATAGCAGGAACAACAACTACTTATAGATATCTCAGTTGGCTTAGCTTACACAATTCTGACTGCAAAGTTAAAGCAGGAGCAAGCTTTCTGCTAGACAGGTGTCAAAACTGCTGCACCGAGTTCAGCAAGAGCAGATTGCAATGGAAATTTTAAACAATTAGGCTTGAGGTCCTAAAACACTTCTTCAAAAAATTGTAATAAGAGATGAAATGTGGCTTCACCAGTAGGATCCTGAAGACTAAGCACAATCAAAGCAATGACTACCAAGTTAAAGTAAGTGTCCTGAACAAGAGCAAGGGTCTTTTGGGATAGTTGAGGCATTTTGCTTCTTACTTTCTAGAGGATAAAAAAACAATCACATGTGCTTATTAAGAGAGGGTTTTGAGAAGGTTAATGGAAGCACTAACAGAATAACACCTGTGAAAACTGCACTACATCAACGCTCCTGTTCATTCTTCTTACCAAAAAGGTAATTTTGGAGGAGTTTCAAAGGGAAATCATTAGGTATCTACCCCACAGTCTTGATTTAGTTGCTTATGACTTCTTCATGTTTCCTAATCTTAAAAAAATATTTAAAGTTTACCATTTTCTTCAGTTAATAATAAAAAAAAAAGACTGTATTGACATGGTTAAAATTCCAAGACCTTCAGTTTTTTAGGGATAGATCAAAGGGCAGATATTGTTTCTTAGATGAAGTTTATATTTATACTTTACCTTTAAATTCCATTTTTGCACATTTTGAAGTCTTCTTGCACATACACATACAATTATAGGTGCATATTGGGCAGGCAAGCAAGTTTTTTTTTGACAGGCAGAGTGGACAGTGAGAGAGACAGAGAGAAAGGTCTTCCTTTGCCGTTGGTTCACCCTCTAATGGCCGCCGCGGCCGGCGCGCTGCAGCCGGCGCACCGCGCTGATCCGATGGCAGGAGCCAGGTACTTATCCTGGTCTCCCATGGGGTGCAGGGCCCAAGTACTCAGGCCATCCTCCACTGCACTCCCGGGCCACAGCAGAGAGCTGGCCTGGAAGAGGGGCAACCGGGACAGAATCGGCAAGCAAGTTAATACTACCCATCTGCAACTTATCAATACATGTAGTGAAATTTTTATGTTGGGGTCTAACAACTGTAACCTATGGGCTGCTAGTAGTACTGCTGTAGTGCAGGTAAGAGAATGGAGAGGAAACAAATTCTTTATCAAAGAGCTCATGGAAAAAACCTGACTCTAAGAGAGACTGCCACAGCACTAGGGTTAGATTCTTCACACCTGCCCTCTTCCTCGCCTCTTATATCCAGGGCATCATCAAACTCTGTTGATTACACCTTTGAAACATTCCCCAGGTCCTTTTTAAAATTCTAGTTCCAATGTTATTACTCTGGTTCACAGGCTGTCACATCTTGCCAAAATACTGCAGCCATTTTCTAACTGGTTTACATGCTCATTCTCGACCTCTTCCCGCTTATTCTCCACACAAGACAGGGAGACATTAAAAATTAGAATTACATTCAGACTACTCCTCCTTAACTTGGACCATGAAAATGGCTTCCCGTTATGTTTAGGGTGGCATCCAATTCTCTCGGACTGTAAGGCACTGCAGTCTTGCCTCCTTTCCAGCCTCATGTCCCTTCTCTCTAGCCCTCACTACTTTCCCAGCCTCTTTGCCACTCTTTCTAAATTCAGTTCCTTAAATATGCCAGGCTCTCTTTTCACCACTCGGCCTTCCCATGATATGTTTCCTGTCCCTGAACTAAAATTATTTCCCCAACTCCTGCCCTACCCCATTCTGCATGCTTTTTATCTCACCTCCAGCTTCCTCTAGCAAGTTTCCTTATAAATCCCCCACCACCAAGTCTAGTCAGGATCACCCTTAACTTCTGATTCTCCATTCTCCCTTTTTACTTCTCTCATAATCCTTTGTCACACTGAGATATAATGTCCTATTTATTGTCTGCCTTTGAGCTCCGGGAAGACAGAGCTTGTCTGTTCTGGCCTTCACTGGATCTCAAAGACACAAATAGTGTCTGGCACATGGCTGGTTGTCAAAAAAATGTTTTTAAAATTAATTAGGTTTCCTATAAGGGAACCATGGGGTCTTGAGCCTTCCCACCCATCAGATTTACCCCTTTATCTCACCGCATCAATCTCATTCAAGGCCTTCCACTGCTCATAGGGGACACCAAGAGCCTCAGCAGTCTGGATCGTCCTCTTCATATGGCTGGTCCACACCTTCAGGGAGCTGATGCCCTGGGACTGAATGAAGTTGGCCAGGGCATAGGCATACTAGGGTGAGGAGGTACAAAGGAGAAAGGAGAGGAAAAGAGAGGTGAGAGAGGAGTGTATAACTATAAGAAAAAGTTCAGATCTTCCAAGAATAGTGGAGGGATGTTTAAATATTCCAAATTTATAAAAAGTCATACATTCTGGCTAGTGCCACGGCTCAACAGGCTAATCCTCCACCTGCAGCGCTGGCACACAGGGTTCTAGTCCCAGTCGGGGTACCAGATTCTGTCCCGGTTGCTCCTCTTCCAGTCCAGCTCTCTGCTGAGACCCGGGAGTGCAGTGGAGGATGGTCCAAGTGCTTGGGCCCTGCACCCGTATGGGAGACCAGGAGAAGCACCTGGCTCCTGGTTTCGGATCAGCGCAGTGTGCCAGCCGTAGAGCACTGGCTGCAGCGGTCATTGGGGGGTGAACCAACAGAAAAAAAAGGAAGACATTTCTCTCTGTCTCTCTATCTCACTGTCCACTCTGCCTGTCAAAAAAAAAGTCATACTTTCCCCCTATGTGATTGGAGGTCAAGGGGATATAGAGTATGTGTGTTTATGTGTGCCCATGTGTATGTATATATGTGCTTGTGTGTTCGCTGATGCTTGCTCACTGAATCCCCCTCTTGGTTATTCATTCAAGCAAACAGGCTCACCACAAACATTTGTGAGGCTTAGGAAAAATAGTTCAAACAGAGACACCTCATTGCTTTCCATTTCTAGCTCCATCCTGTATTTCTAGATGCCTTATGTGTGTTTATGGGTAATCAGCCAAGGACCAAATTCTATCAACATCCTACCTCCAATGATTCCCATGCTCCACAAACTGTGACTATTTGGCTGAGGGTGAACACTCCTATGACACAACCTGCCCACAGTGGATAGACTCTGGGGTAGGCCCATGGAGTCACCAGAAATAGACTCTGGGCTGTAAGAGCAAAGAACACTAAAGTTTGGAGTACTCAGCGTGTGGCCTGGAAGTGGGAGATAGGGGATTTTGCAGACATGTTTTTTTGATATTATAAATTCTCAATATTTGAACAAGGTTGCTAGTACTCAGCTTTGAAGAGAATTCACAATGTACCGAGTGCATGTTGTCCCATGCTGGGTGCCGGGAGTCCCAGTTCTCAAGACACGGCCAGTCCCGTGCAGGAAACAAAGGCAGCATGGAGAGAGGCCCCCAAGGGCTGTGGCAGCCCAAGGGAGCAGGTGACCTGCCGTGCTGTGCACAGGTGTGACTGCCATCCCAGACGGAGTGCGCTGGGAACACTGGCACAGACGCACGCACCAGGCGCTCATTGAGAGCCACAGCCACACGCCTCTCCTGCACGCATCTCATCATGGACCTGAGTCAGCGTCCGTGCGCTCCGACAGAAGGGGCGCTTGACTGGGAGGTAGGAGACGTGGGTGAGGCCCCCACTCCCTCACACGGTCCCTGTGAGCTGAGGGCCGAGTCCCTGCCCTCCAAGGCCTCACGGCTTGCCTGAGAGATGCGAGCAGCTCGCGCTCACCTGTGGTCTCTGTGTTTGTCACTTCACCTGGGGAGTCAGCAGCACCCAGACTGCTCCCAGGTGCACAGTGGGTGCTGCACAGTGAGGGCTATGGTGATGGGGGTGACCACTGAGGGCACTGCCAGCTGCGCATGGAGCACTGTGCCCAGCACACGGAAGGCTGGGCCAGGTGTGTGCAGGTGCACGCACACGCTAGTGAGCAGGAAGCACATGTGGAGCTGGCCACTGTCCACCTGGGCTCTAAGCAGCATGAGAGGGCCATGGCCACCCGTCAGCAAGAGCGCCCAAGCTGCAGGTGGTGCCATGGGGCAGGGTCGCACCTGCATGGCCTCTCACTCTGCCCTGAGGAGCCACAGATGAGCCACAGGCCAGCGTACACAGACTGCCAGCCGGGGAGTGACAGGGAGGGAGCCATGAGGACTGGGCTGTAAGTGACAGCGCCTTGTCTGGGACCCCTCCTGCCTCTCCAGCAGAGATACTGAGGTGCAAGGCAGGAAAGCCTGGCTTTCAGTCCTGGCTCTGTCTGGCCCAGGCTGTGTGACCTGCGGTCACTCTCTGCCCCTCTCTGGACCTCAGCTCCGTCCTCCATATCTGGGTGTGGGTATTGCCCACCCCACAAAGCTGTTGTGGACATCAAATGAGGCCACACGTCGGGAGCAGAAGGCACTGTGGCTGTGAGGAGGGGTCCCATACATGACAACATAGCTGCCCCCACTCCTCCTCTCCCCCTGTTCCCACCCCCACATGATCCTTCCAGCAAGAACAGCACCTATGCCCACAAGGCCAGGGCCAGATTGGGGGGGAGAGGACAGAGCCCTGTATGAGCCCCTCCCAGAATGTGCAGGGCACATGGCCCAGCCCAGGAGAGATGGAGACCGGGCTCGGCCACCTGACCGTGAGGGCTTCCTGGACCAACCACGGAGCAGGAGCTGGGCCTGGCATGGAGCTGGGAGGGCAGGCGAGACGCAGCCAGAAGTGGGTCAGCTGCTGACCGCATGACCCCTGCGGTGGGGAGGGTGGCAGCAGCCCCAAGTCGCAGAGAAGGGATTCAGCGTGGGGCCCTCCAGGCAGCTGTCTGCCAGCGATGGTGACCAGCGACCAGAGGGGACCGCAGGCAGCAAGGCGGGGCACAAGCGAAGGCACAGCGTGGTGAGAGGGATGAGGGGACCTGTCAGGCAGGGGTGAAGGGGGGTCATGTGATGGAGCAGGCAGACTGGGGCGGGCCTGGAGGGCCGGGCTCCAGCTAGGAGACCCGCAGAAGCCGCTGGCACCTGGGAGCCACCAAGGATGCGTCCACACTGAGTGGCTGATGGGGAGGAAGGCAGGCGTGGGCAGAACCTGCTCCTGGCCCAGCTCTAGTGTGGGCCCCTCCTCAGGACCCAGGCAGCACCACCCTGCCTGTCCAGCTCCGCCCCAACCACACCTGGGCCAGCTCAGCCACGCGTGGGGGTGCACGGGGCTCTCCCTACCTGCTTGCCCCGAGCTGAGAGGCCAGAGTCTCCTCCGATGCGGCCCCTGAGGTTGAGCTCGCTCTCTCCATGCCGGCACAGGTAGATGGAGCGGGGTGTGACGTGGATGTTCATGAGGTAGTAAACTGTGCGGCTCTGGATGTGGTCCTGCACTCGGTTCACCATGTAGCGTGTGCCCACGTCAAAGATCTTGATGTAGGACAGGTGGCTGGGCCAGATCCAAGCAGGAGCAAGGGCAGCTCAGGTGCTGATGGTGGCAGGTTTGTCCCAAGAGAAATCCCCACCATACATGCTATTTTCAATCCCCTTCCACAATGCAGCTTTCACTTAAGGAAATACTCTGCCTTGCCGTGCTCTGGGTACCTGTCTAGAGACTTGATTCCTGGCCACCCCTAGGAGCTCATTATTCTCTCTCATCTCTACCTGTCTCCTCCCTCAGCCTCTACTTGAGCCACACTGTCTTTTCGCTGTCACTCTCACCCTATATACCCTGGAGTTCTCTTCCCTGTGATTCACACTTCATCATACTCCAAGACAAACAGTGATCCTTTGTATCCCTGGCTGTCCCAAACATGTCATTGACAACTTCTTCCTTGTTCACTATTCCACATTTCTGATCCTGAGCCAAGCTCTTTTCTCCTCTTCTGCTGTTCTTTGAACATCTCAAATGATATATTGTTATCTATAACCCTATAGGTAAATACCAAATTGTATCCATGTGCACCTGTGACTGAGTGTGCCTGTCTCCTTCCTCACTCGGAAAGGGGGTTCACAACTGGTAGAACCCTCCTCTGTTCCAGGCATTGTATGTGCAGCAGGGACCCAATGTCTACCCTTTTAGATCTCTTAGACAAACCAGGAACATATACTTGAAACACATGAAGAATGACCATCATCTATTATAAACAGTCACCAACTCTAAGGTGTGCCTTTGCTATATCTGAATCTCAGTTTCCTCACCTAAGGAGTGGAGCAATAACAATGCTCATCTCTTGGTACTTGAGTTGGGTAAAGCTGGAAGGATGATATTTAAATTTCTGAGGGTGGTTGCAATCATTTGAGGCCTCCTTACACTTCACATTTTTCTCCCAAAGGGAATGAGTATCTGCAACCAATTTTAAAGAGAATAGTGTTCTGGGAACACTTTACATCTGAACCTGACATGTGCTCTGTACTTCCAGCTAACATATGTCCTATCTTTAGCTGGTATTATGAAAGAAAATTTCCTGTTTTTCATGGATTTTTTCCTATATGTCAAGGGCCTATAGAAGCTACCTGGGGATATAAACTGCTCCTCTTAATCCATTTACACTTTCTACATTATACCATAGCTCAAAGGAGTCAATACTTATTGACTGTAGAGGTCTATGAGTGTTGGGAGAAGACACATGACTAGGAAACAGAATGTATACTTAGAATCCTACCTATACCCCCTAACTTCTGGATGGAGCTTGAGAAAGTAGTTTTAGCTCCCTGAGACTCAATTTCTCTTTCTTGAAAATTTATGACCACAAGACATAACTCAGCTGCCTTTACAGGTGTGTTGTGGAGATTCAACAAAGAAGGCAAAAACTGAAATGTTACCTAAGAATACTTTTTGCAATAGTAACAGCAACACCCACAGGAGGGAGGTATTTTTTCTCCCAGAGATTAGGGTCCACATCTGTCCATATTGCTAAGGAAAGTACTCTTTCAGTCATATGATGAACACCTTACACAATTACAGAATTACTGTCTTACAGAAAGTTTAGAGTTGGGGGGGATCCTTGAAAACAGATCATATCCAGCTGCCTGATATTATAGATAGTGACGTTGAGATCCAGTAAGAGAGGGTATTTCCCTAGGTTCTACACGATATAAAACTGGGCTAATAATCCAGCTCTTGACTGTGGGGTTCTTGGCTTATACCTGTCCAGTTCCTCATCCAAGGGTTGGTAGTTGACTTCATAGCACTCGATTCTCTTTAGAAAGTCTTCTAGAACCTTTTCCCGGTCACAGTCTATGTAATCAGGGCTACCGAGTTTCACTTGCTAGAAGCAGAGAAAGACAGAGGTAACAAAGGAAACACTGGGAGATGGAGATTCTGACAATGTCCTTAGGAGGGCCTCTTAGAGACCACTGCCTTCAACATCCCACATTATAACCATGAGGAAATTGAGACTTGGGGAAAGAATCTTGTCCAAGTTTATAAAATTAGACAATTTAGGAGAATTTAGACTGTGTGACTCCTTGTTCCTAATCTTTACATGGCCAACAAAAGCCTGTTATATCAAATTTAGCCCCAGACCACACTTTGCTTAAGAAGAACACTTATAAAAGAACCAGAAATCGCAATGTGAGAAATGAATGAATAAGAGGAACTAGAAATCTTGCTCACAGGTAATAGTTTACATGTATTGAGTATTTGCCATTAGACTATGGCATATTTTCGCTGGATTTCTGAAGAGGTTGTATTGCCTAATCTCCCAATATTCACCTTATCCACCAACATTATCTAGCTCAGGGAGTGTCATTACCATTCACCCAATCATATGAGCCTAAATAGAATCTGAGAGTAAGCCCAGATAACTTCTTTTATCATCCATCAACTCTTAGCAGGAACCAAATCAGCTCTACTTTTCTTTATAAATATCCATTCTCTTGCCTGTGCTCACAATACCTTTGTAACTGATTACTCTGTCTAAAGTCTTGTTGCTTTTTATTTATTTGCCATATTGGAAGCCAGAAAGATATTTATAACACAAACATCTACCCATGGCATTCCCCTTCTTAAAACCCTTTACAATTTTCTCATATCTTTCAGGTCAAAATTTGAATGATTATAGCAAGTGGGTTATAGCTTGTCATGACTGGGTCCCAAATTACCTCTTCATACTCATCTCTCACTGCTTCCCTATTCCTCCACACACTTTTCTTTAGTCAATCTAAGTTATCTATAGTTCCATGGAGATACCATGCTTAGCTTACTCTGTTCTTTTATTCTCATTCTTCAGCTGTTAAATTTTTATGCATTCTTCAATATGCAGTTCAGTTATTACTCTGGGAAACTTCCTTGGCATACTCCCCCAATGCAAGGTTATGTCTTCACCCCTATTCTCCCATAATTTCCTCTATTCCCTCATCTCAGCACTGATATTAGAGAACTGTCTACATACTTGTCAGTCTCCCTCACTAGACTGAGTTCAAGGGAAGAATTATCCTCTTTCCATCCCTATGTCTTCAAAGCTCCAAATGACCCATTCCAGGTATATAGTCAATTTCTCTTGGATCAATGAATAGATGGATAGATGGATTGATGAAGAAGGAAGAGGAATTTCACATGCTGTACATTCTAAGAGGTAAAAATAGGATCACTGAGTGGAATTACAGGAAGGCAGATTTCAGCTTGAGTAGGCTGCATTTGTTGAAGCAATGGCCGTTTGTCATTGTAGGTATGAAGAAAATTGAGACAAACATTTAGGTGACATTTTAAGTATCTGATGTAGGGTTGAAAGAGATGACTTTTGGGGGCCAGCACTGTGGCACAGCAGGTTAAAGCCCTGGCCTTGAAGCACAAGCATCCCATATGGCACTGGTTCTAGTCCCAACTGCTCCTCTTCCAACCCAGCTCTCTGCTATGGCCTGGGAAGGCAGTAGAAGATGGCCCAAGTCTTTGGGCCCCTGCACCCATGTGGGAGACCCAGAAGAAGCTCCTGGCTCCTGGCTTCAGATCGGCTCAGCTCCAGCCGTTGCGGCCATCTGGGGAGTGAACCAGCGAATGGAAGACCTCTCTGTCTCTACCTCTCTCTGTAACTCTGTCTTTCAAACAAATAAAATAAATCTTTTTTTAAAAAAAGAAAAAGATGACTTTTAAGGTCTCTTCTGACCCTGAGATCCTGTAATTTGATGAAGTAGGAAACAATCAAATGTGGTGAATGATCTTGTTCTAGACCATATGCCTAGAATCTCAGAGCACTGATGCTTCTGGTTTTAATTGTGGGGAAGAAAAAAGAACACACGCTATTGAGGCAGACAGCCAAGATGTATGTCCAGTCTCACTTTTATCTGTTGCTGGCTGTGTGAATATTTGACAGCTAATTCCTATTCTGGAAACTTCAGTTTCCTCTCTCCAACATGGAGATGATCCCTAGCATATATGTTTGTTGTGAAAAATTAATGGGCTTAGTACCTGGTGCATACTAAGGGTTCCATACAAGGGGTCTTTACAAAGGTCATAGAAAATGTGTATTAAGAAAACAAACTATGCATGGATTTCAAAAACTTTTGTGGGGCTGGTGTTGTGGCATAGTGGGTAAAGCTGCGGTCTGCAGTGCTGGCATCCCATATGGGTGCTGATTCGAGTCCTGGCTGCTCCACTTCTGATCCAGTTCTCTGCTATGGCCTGGGAAAGCATAAGATGGCCCAAGTCCTTGGGCCCCTGCACCCATGTAGGAGAGAGACCTGGAAGAAGCTCCTGGCTCCTGGCTTTGGATCAGCCCAGCTCCAGCCAGGCTATTGTGCATTGTGGCCATTTGGGGAGTGAACCAGCAGATGGAAGACCCCCTTTCTCTCTGCCTCTGCCTCTCTGTAACTCTGTCTTTCAAATAAATAAATCTTCAAAAAAATTTTTTTGCACCAAAATAAACTTATCTTTTAATTCAATTTCTGTGAACTTTCTGAAGTGTCCTCATGCATGTTGGCTTCACTGAACTCCATAGGATCATTGTGGGCCAGGATGGCCAGGGAACTCCTCCATACGAAGTGGGAGGAGAAGCTCAGGGAAGAATACCTTCATTTATCTCCTAGAGGTCTTTTTAGGCATGAGCCAGACCTAAGGCAGAATAAGGAGAAAAGTTAACTGCTCCTTACCTTGATATTTTCAGCAATTACGCCAGGGTCATTACAAATAGATTCAATGAAAAATACCTACAAGAGAAACAGAAGAGAGATTTCTAGGAAGGAATTATGTTTAGTAGGATTCAAGCATAGCTTGGCTCCTTCTCAGTGGCTAAGTCATCCCCAGAGCCATCTCTGACAACATAATGTTTTCACACAGTGGTGGTTTCAGGCTTCTGAGTTTTTTGAGGCAGACTGACTTCAAGTTGAATGTCCCCAGATTGTTGCTTTGTGTTTTCACTGCAGTTCTTATACTTGTATATGCTTTTTGTTCTCCACTTCTTCCTCATGCTCCATGGCTTAATGTGGCACCAAACCTTTCTAGTTCTGCTTTGCTAGTTTTGACAGTATCCTGGAAATCCAGATGACCACATTAAAATGTGGTGCCGGTGTTGTTTGATTTAGCTGCTGTGAGACTGTTGGTTTTCCTTTTTTTGGGATTTGTGGTGGTTTGTGCTCCTATGCTCTAGATAAGAGTGGGAGTATTACTGTACCTTGTAACCATGCTCTTTAGCAAATTGCAGAATCAATGTCCGCCGTTCTCTGGTAGTATTGGTAGCATCAAACACCTAGAGACAGGTAATGACATTGGCTTAATCTGAATCCGGTGCTGATAGAACACCTACTTTTTGTCTATCCCTGTGCTAACTGGATGGCTTCATGCAGGAAGTAGAACTTGAACAGAGTCTTAAAATACAGCAAGAATTCAGCTTATGCCAATTTTACAAGTACCCTGTCTGCTTAGAAATGTACCAGACCCTGTGAGTACATTCAGGCAAAAGGAAAAGTGTAGGCTTTCATGAGGATCATTTTATAGTAACTGAATGAAGCCCAGCACTTGTCTTTTTTTTTTTTTTGACAGACAGAGTGGACAGTGAGAGAGAGAGACAGAGAGAAAGGTCTTCCTTTTCCGTTGGTTCACCCCCCAATGGCCACTGCAGCCGGCGCGCTGCTGCTGGCGCACCGCGCTGATCCGAAGCCAGGAGCCAGGTGCTTCTCCTGGTCTCCCATGCGAGTGCAGGGCCCAAGGACCTGGGCCATCCTCCACTGCACTCCTGGGCCACAGCAGAGAGCTGGACTGGAAGAGGAGCAACTGGGACAGAATCTGGTGCCCCGACTGGGACTAGAACCCTGTGTGCCAGCGCCGCAGGTGGAGGATTAGCCTATTGAGCTGTGGCGCCCGCTCAGCACTTGTCTTGATCATAGTCACTGGGAGTTACTGACAGAGCAGAGCTAGAACTGGTCCTAGGTGAGGCTTCTTCCTCCCTATCATCTTCCTATCTAGACGTTCTCAAGAACAAGAAATAACTCCCTATGCCTATCATTTTAATGGGTTTATTTGCATATTTCAGGATCTCTTCCCTTGTTGGAACTTGATAACCCTACACCAACGACCTATGAGATTAAATTGGCACCATGTTTAGGTAAATCACTGGAACTTAAAAATCTTTGTACAGCAGTCTTAAATTCTAATATTTAATCCTGCTGAATTTTGGGGGTAGATGGCATAGTGTAGTGGTTAAGAATGGAGATTGGGGCCGGTACTGTGGCATAGCAGGATAAATCCACTGCCTGCAGTGCAGGCATCCCATATGGGCACCGGTTTGAGTCCCGGCTGCTCCACTTCCAATCCAGCTCTCTGCTATGGCCTGGAAAAGCAGTACAAGATGGCCCAAATCCTTGGGCTTCTGCACCTGTGTGGGAAATATGGAAGAAGCTCTTGACTCCTGGCTTTAGATCTGTGCAGCTACAGCCATTTGGGGAGTGAACCAGTGGATGGAAGACCTCTCTCTCTCTCTCTTTTTTTTCTCTCTCTCTCTCCCCCTCTGCCTCTCTGTAACTCTGCCTTTCAAATAAATAAATAAAATGTTAAAAAATAAAAAGAGTGGGGATTACAGAACTTAGATTCCACCTATGGCCTTGTGAAGTTATTTAATCTCTTTGTGAATCATTCTTCTGGGTTCTAAAATTACAATACCCTTTTCACAGAGAGAACATGAAATTAAATTATCAATATATGCAAAGTAATAAGAAAAATGTATAGCACATAGTGAATGCTGAATATGTATTAGCTATTCGCCATCCTAGCAGATAAGAATGGGTAAAATGAAAATTTCTTTACCGCAACATGACCTTCCTCATGGCTGAGATAGTTATGGACATCCTTGAGGGCTGCCAGGGCACATTGCCTGAAAAACACCAAGAAAAAAACAGAAACAATCCCTACCCCCAGATTGGGGTCCTCTTCCTCTTTCTGCACTACTTTTCTGTACCATCCTTCCTATGTCTTACACTAAATTATTCATATATTAAACATCTACATAGGATGTTTGATGTTCTAGACATCATGCCAAGCAGAGGGATCGCACAGTTGAAAGTGGCTCTATGTGTATAGATTAGGGCCAGGTATACAGTAACATACCCAGGAAAAGTGAGTAATGACTGAAGAAAATATTAAAGGTTCTAACATTTGGGCTAATGGGGCTTAAAATGACTAACTGACCTATGAACCCAGACAGAGCTTAAGTAAAAAGCCTTTCTGGCTTGGTAACACTGCAAAGGCATGACATTGGAAAAGACATTATCTTTTAAGTCCATTCTCCATGAACATTTTGGAGGCTCCCCCAGATTTATGCTTTCAGTAAAGTTCTCTTTATTGGATTCTATGATGAAGGCATGGATCAATAAATAAGACATAGGCTCAGTTTTGGAAGTGTTCAGAGTTTTGTAGGGAAGATAGACCTTGATGTTGAACTGATGAGACTGGAGAGATAAGTGGGGCCAATAACTAGACTGAGAAGTTTCTATAATCTCCTACCAGAAATAGTAGACTGTTCAAGGCTCTTGAGCATGAATGGTTATGACCAGAATCAGGCTATGGGCAGGATGGTGGAAAGGCTGTCCCAACTACCATTTGAGTCTAGGGGGCCTCCTCCCTGGTCTATGTTACTATGCCCCACTCCCCCAATATCTGACCAAAGGCCTCCCTCTACTGCAGGGGGTGAGCACAGATCCCTAAAATATTGGGTACTTACTTCCTGATAAGTAAGGCTTCCATGTTGTCTGGTAGAAAGAATTCATAGTTCTTGTAGCTCACTGCTTCTCTTCGATATTGGCCTAAATTAAACACTGAAAGCAGGGAGCCCCAGTGAAGAAATTGGGAAGATACCAGGGCCAAAATAGTTCCTTGTTGGGAAGGACCTTAGATATTGAAAGTATAATATGTACCTATAAAACATGCTTATAAAACTTTAAATTATGTCTGTCAGCTCATATATTTTCACAACTCTGCAAGGTAGGCATTATCCTTCCCATTTTATAACTGAGGAAACAAATTCAGAGATAGTAAATAACTTTCACCGTTAGTATGTGGGTTCTGGATTCCAACACAAGTCTTCTTGGCTCCACTATTCTACTTATCATCAAGTTCAAACTCTTTAAATTCCCAATTCCTTTGGAAAGATGAAGAAAGAGATTCATGGAGCAAAATCTGTCACTAAGAGTCAAACAGTCAGAGAAGTGGTGACAGATATAGACTAGACCCCCTGACTGTGAGGCCATGTTATGTTATTTTTTTTGTATCATGAAGAATCTAAATCCCAATCTCCAGGTCATGCTTTCCCACTTGCAGTTGTGGGAAGGAAAAGAGGAAAAAGTGAATAAGCACCCAAGGAGGTGATTTTCATTCATTCATCCAAAAATACTTTTGATGCCTACTTATTCAGGCAGGAAATGAGTTTGAAGTTTCAGATATTAACCAGATCTTTATGATGAGACCCTCAGAGAGCTCACAATTCAGCAGATGGGGCATTGAGTAAACCAGTAAACAGAGTTCCCAGCCAGTTTGTTAAACTGCTCTGACAGAGACAATATGTAGTCATGCAAAAGAATGAGGGCAAGAAAAGACCAATTTTACATGGGGTGACATGAGAAGGTTTCTTGAAGGAAGCAGAATTTGAAGCAGCTTTTTTTAGGGTAAGCATTCTTACAGGAAGGTATGGGGTTAGGGTAGGACACAAAGGTATTCTAGTTGGAGAAATAGTTTAAACAAAGGTATGACATTGGCGTAAACCAGAACATGCTTGGGTAATGGTGTCTGAAGCTTGAGAGGCTGGAAGGAACCAACTGTGGAGAGCATTGAACAACAGGCTACAGAGCCTGGCTTTGAACCTGAAGGTCAATGTGAATCTTGGAGGCTGTAGGAATGATTAGTTTTGTGTTTTGAAATATGAGTTTGGAGACTTCTGTGGGAATTGAGTGGCATGTAGGCACACAGGAAGCAAGGGGACCAGGGCAGAGGCCCTACTCTCAGCAGAAGCTCCTCAGAGTTTGCAGTCACCTGTAAGAGATGCTCCTTTACTTCTTTTCTGCCAACATCCTGCTCCACCCACAGAACCCAGATCACTATACCTTATCTGGGAAGCTTTTGTTGTCTTCCTATTAGTAATCCTTTCTGTGAGCCTCCTCAACAATCTCCTCTAGGGGACATGAAGTATTCTTATGCTTCCTAGCCAGGCTGAAAAACTCTTCAAGGCAAGGCTTGAGTCTCATCCATTTTCTTATCTTTAATGCTTAACATGGGTTTTGACACATGGGAAACTCCTTACTGGTGAATTAGATAAAGACAAAGTAAATGAAGGGAATGAAGAAATGAGAGAAAGATGAGAGAGTTGGAACAAGAGAGGAAGGAATGGATGGAAGGAAAGGGACAGATTGGATGTTGGGATGGGGAAGAGAATGGAGAACAAGACAGATAAAAGGACAGTACAGGGCCGTCCACTCCCCCATCCACACCCCATCAGTAGAATCATGTATAAGAGACCTGACACTAAGTATCAGGCTTGGAGTCAAAGAGACCTGGTTCATATCCTAGTTTTGTTACTTACAGTCATGTGCTTATAGACAAGGCACTTAACTTCTTGGGTCTTAGTTTCCTCAGTTATGAAGTGGTAAAGGAATGCTAATGCTAATAAAACACTAATATTGGTATGCTAATAATAATAATGGTAATAAAATAGTATGCTACTTATAGGGTTATTTTGAGGTCCTAGAACTCCTTGAGAACAGATATTTAATCTTAATAGTTTTTCTATGCCTAGCACTCAGCATGGAGTTGAACAAAGAATGTGTGCTCAAGAAATTGTAAAGCTTATAAAAATGTAGTGGTAGTGCTACTAATCCTAGTAGTAGTTGTGATGAAGCATATCTGGTACTGAGGGTTTGACCTGCTACCTTCATTGGTTCTAAGCCTATAGAGGGTTATACAATAAAGGGTTTCAGAGACATACCTTTAGTTGGTGTACCTATCCAGTTGAGATATCGTGTGAGCTTTGTGGAGATGTATGTCTTCCCTCGAGCTGGTAAACCCACCATGATCACCATTGTGGGAGAATTGGTAAACTGGGGTACGGATGCTGGAAGAGAAACAGTCTCAAAAGCTTATTTTCCAACTCACATGATCTTCTGGTATCAGTTCTGAGATGTAGAGCTGGAAAGAGCATCTCTCCCACTATTACAACAAGAAAAAAAAGTGCTGGAAAACTGCAAATCATCTCTTGACCTCATTAAATAGCTAAGGCTGCAAACTGCTAACCCCAAATCTGTAGAAATAGGCATCTGCAGGGAGCAACAGGACCCACCCTTTGCCTATCTGGTGCAGATACCACTACACAACATATAAACTCATAAGAAGATTTAGCTAAAAATTATTAATGAATTGCTAAAAGCTGGTTGTGGGCTAGTGTGAGAAGCCCATGGGAACTGATAACAGGCAACTCAATACACTTTTGTGGAATCTTCCTCCAGGAATTTCACCAGGTGCTGACAGGAAAGAATGAGAAAACTCCTAAGAAAGGTATCTTACAGTTTTGACTTGGGGAAGGGAACAGAATGGCAGCCATTATCAAAATTTGCCAAGACCATTTTCTCTTTATTCTCTATGGAACAAAAGTGTTAAATTCTCTGGAAGAAAGGCAATAAAAACTGCAGCATGAGAGCACTGTGGAAACTCACTGCAGCTGGCCGAGCAAAACTACCAACATCATTGATTGGTTTGTCTACATCAATCTACTGTTATCCCCCCAAAAGAGAATAAAAGCCTTAATCTGCAGCAGAAAGGTCAACAGAAACTGAGGGGGATGAGTGAAAACTCACTACAACTGGGGGAGAAAAAAAAGGGGGGCCTATTTTAAACCAAGTAGGGCAGGAAAACGTGTTGGGCTTGCAATTACATTTGGAGGAGGGACAGGAGTACTCATTAGGGTCACAATTCCAACACTCAGGATAATTCTGTCTAAGACTAAAACCTAGCAAGAATAGAACAAAATGTTTCTAGTCCCTTATTCCCACTACCAAATTAAGAAACATCAGTAAAAATAATAGTGGGATTAGGTGTAGGACACGCACAAGATTGTGGGAGCAGCACAAAGGGAAGAATGAAGTTAAGGAAAAAAAAACAGTATAAAGAGATTAAATGATCACAATGACTAGACTCAGCTATGACACAGATGTTGGAATTACCAGACAGGTAATTTAAAACAGCTATAGTTAATATGTTAAAGGCTCTGTTGGAAAAGGTAGTTGGATAGGTAATTTCAGTAGGGGGTGGAAAGTATAAAAAGGAAATGCAAGCACAAGGGAGAAAAAAATACAGTAACAGACCTGAAGAATATCTTTGATGTGCTCATCAGTGGACTTGACACAGCAAGGAGGAATCACTGAATTTGAAGACAGGTCCATAGAAATTATACAAACTGAAGAGCATAGAGAAAAGAAGGCAAAAGAGAAAACAGAACAAAATATTCAAGAACTGTAGGACAATCCCAAACAGTGTATCGTATGTGTTCTAAGAATACAACAAAGAGAAGAAAGAGAAGAAGTAGAAAAAAATTTTAAAACACATTCATAATGGCTGAAATTTTTCAAAATTAGTGACTGACACCAAACTGTAGGAAGCTCAGAGAACACCAAACATGTAAATACCAAAAACAACCAAACCAAACCAATCAAAAAAAAAACCAAACAAACAGAAAATAGAGACAAAAATAAAAACTTAAAGGAAGCCAGGAAGGAGGAGCTGTAATGGAGAACACCTTACCCACAGAGTAACAAAAAGAAGAATTACACTAGACTTCTTGTCTTAATCACATAAGCAAGAAGACAGTAGAATGAAAACTTTGAGGTATTGAAAGAAAAAAAGTCAATTTAGAATTATAAATCCTACAAAAATATCCTTCAAAAATGAAGGCAAAATACTTTTCCAGATAAAAGCTGAGGAAATTCATAACCACTAGGCTTGCTTTATAAGAAATATCCAAGATAATTATTTAGGCAGAAGGAATATGACATAGGTTAGAAAACTGTCTACAAAATTAAAGGGAGAGTTTCGACAAGGGAATATATGAAAGCAAAACATAACTTTATTTTTCACATTCTTAAATGACCTAACTATAAACTAAGTTTATATGGACCATCAAAGAAGGAGGTACCTTTCTCTGAAGGGAAGAGAGAACTTCCACTTTGACTATGACCTTGTCTAAATAAGATTGGAGTTGGCGAACTCAAAAGGCTTCCATAGCCTTGGCAACTCATGACAAGAGCCTAAGGTGATTACTGACGCCATAAACAAGAATGTCAATTGTTAAATCAACAACAGGAGTCACTGTGCACTTACTCCCCAAGTAGGATCTCTGTCCTTAATGTGTTGTACTATGTGAATGAATGCTATAACTAGTACTCAAACAGTACTTTATACTTTGTGTTTCTGTGTGGGTGCAAACTGTTGAAATCTTTACTTAATATATACTAAATTGATCTTCTGTATATAAAGTTAATTGAAAATGAATCTTGATGTGAATGGAATGGGAGAGGGAGCAGGAGATGGGAGGGTTGCGGGTGGGAGGGAAGTTATGGGGGGGTAAAAGCCACTGTAATCCAAAAGCTGTACTTTGGAAATTTATATTTATTAAATAAAAGTTAAAAAAAACTAAGTTTAGAGTTATAATAGTAATGATGTATTGTGTGATTATAGCACACAGAAGAATGAAATGAAACACAACAATGAGATGAGGAACAGGGAGAAGAAATTGGGAAGAACATGTTATAAGGTACTTACACTACACATGAAGCTGTATAATGTTATATGAAGGGGAACTCAAATTTTCTAAAAATATATGTTGTAAACTCTAGAGCAGGGGTGGGGAATGTCCAGTCCTCAGGCTGCATAAGGCTGGCAAAATCATTTGATTTGGCCTTGCCAAGGCATCCACAGATGGAACTCAAAATTCAGTAAATCTATAGCAGGCTCATTTTTAAGTTGATTTTTATTATGGCCCGTGAATAATGCTATAAATATCCAAATGGCCTTTGGCAGAAAAAAAGATTCCCCAAGCCTTCTCTAGGGGAACCATTTAAAAAGTAGGGGAAAAAAGACATATAAATGATAAATGTAAAAGGATCATAAAAAATAAAGTAAGAAAAGACAGAAAAACATGGGAAAAACAACAAAACAAATGCAATGACTAGAGAATAGTTGGTAAGATAGATTTTCCCAGCAATGTCAATAATAACTTTAAATCTGAATTGCCTAAATACACCAATTAAAGACAGATTGTTAAACTGGATAAGAAAGCAAGACTTGACAATATAGTATCTACAAAACACATATAAATGAGTCTGATTCTGAGGCCTTCTTTTAACTCTGACTGAAATATAAAACCTTCATAGAATGCATGGATTCCTATATGAAAGCGAAAAAGTAAATTCTTATAGGTGAATCAGGGAAGAATATCAGTTTGAAGTACCACCTAAACAGCTGCAAGTTCGAAATTAGTTTTCCCCTTCAGTATCCTGAGCCTGAAATCAATATGGCATGAAACTCCGAAGTGAGCATTGTTTTAGAGACACAATGAGATGCAGGAGAGAGGCCTTATAGTTTGGGCTTGAGGAATGGCAAAGAGAACTAAGGTTCAGAGTGAGGGCACTCTTTGTTGTTGTTGTTTGAACTTCATCTTTAGTTCCACAGTGGACATAACAACAGCAAAGGCCCAGAAGGACAAGTGGCCCAGAATGGGAGCCCTTCCTGTAGGTGGAGCCACAGTGTCAAGAAGACACAACTGTTTCTGGAATTTGTACAACCATGACAGTGGGTAGTTTTTCAACACAGGACAGAAAACAAGAGCCCAAGGAGTTGGAAAGTACTAAAAAGATAATGGAGAGAGAAGAATTATGAAAAGTTAACTGCATCTCTAATTTATGTTTTGATCCTAATTATTATATCAAAGATTTGGAAACTCGACGAGCAAGTAGATCTCCACCCAAATCCCAAATTGGCCACTAGGTGGTGCACACACAGGACAGACCTAATAGTACTACTGCAAAAGCTTTGAAAATCGAACCACAATACACAGAAGATAAAGCATAAACATCAACCTTCTCCATAGAATATAAGAAGGATTGAGAATCTCACAACAATACTCACAATGTCTAGGATACAAGCTAAAATCAGCTAGCATGAAAATCTTAGCTGACATGGAAAGAGACAATCAACAAACATGAATGATGATATGATACTTTAGAATTATCTATTTAAAAATTGAATGAGTGATAACAAATGATCTTGGAACAGCTATTAAAAATAGAAAAACCATCAAACAAGTACAATCAAATGGATATTTTGAACAGAAAATACAGTAACTGAAATTTTAAAAATCTAGAATGAGATAAAAATCATAAATATTGAAATTATAATAAAAGTATACAATTAACAACTCCAAGCACATAATTTAACAGTAAAGTTTCTCAGAAAGCACAAAATGCCAAAACTCACCCAAAATGAAATAGATAATATGAATTCTTCTATAACAATTGAATTTTCAATAAAAACAATTCAGCCTAAATCCTCAGGTCCAGATTTGTTTCACTGGGAAATTTTATCATACATTAAAAGAAAAAAAATAGCACCAATTCTTTACAATCTCTTCAGGAAACTAGAAGACAAGAAAACACTTAGCAACATATTCTATGAGGCCAGCATTACAGTGAAAATGGGGCAGGCATTGCAGTGCAGTGGGTTAGGCCTCCACTTAGGAAGTGACATGCCATATTGGAGTGCTGGTTTGAGACCCAGTTACTCCATACATCTGTTCTAGCCCCCTACTAATGCATCTTGTGGGAGGGCAGCAGATGATTGCGGGGCAGCAAATGATGACCCCAAGTATTTGTGTTCCTGTCACCCACATAGGAGGCCCGAATGGAGTTCCTTGCTCCTGACTTCAGCCTGGCCCAGCTGTGTGGACATTTGGAGACTGAACCAGCGGTTGGACAATCTCTCTGTGTCTGTGTCTGTCTCTGTCTCTCTCTCTCTGTGTCACTGTCACTTTCAAAAATAGATGGATAGGTAGGTAGATACATAAGT